ACCCAGATGTACCGCGGTCCCGCTGCCCGGGTCCTCCTCTGCTTTGCTCTGCATCTCCCTGGTCTGCTGGGCTCCTCCCCAGCAGACCAGGGAGATGCGGAGCAGCTTTTCTCGCCCCGGAGGACGCGGGCGGCGGGACTGTGGCGCATCTGGGCGTCCCGCCGCTCCCGTCCTCAGGGCGGAGAAAAACCCTGTTTGTAACTGCGGATCTGACATAAGTCGGATCCGCGTAACTCAGGGACTGCCTGTAATACCTTTTATATGTGGAAAAATGCATTGTACTTCGATATTCAAATCTGATTGTTCTCTTGATTACGCCACTCTTTGTAGAATAAGAGAATTTTTTTGAAACCCTTTTGTTCTTTACCAGCAAAAAGTTGAATCAGAGCTAGAAATTGGGCATGTGCTTGACCAGTACAGCTTACATCCAAGAAGAGAGAAGAAGAAAGAAGAAATATTTTTGGAAGAGAGAGTTTTTGAGACAGCAAAAACTACTGAAAAAGTATCAACACAAACAAAGGAGCTAGAGTTTGGTGGAAGAATTGGTATGTACATTAACAGTAGTGATGTGTGGTGGGGTGTGGTTGGTTTGTTTGTTTGTTTGTTTGTTTTTGTTACTTGATACCACATTACCATTCTCAAAGATTTCACTCCCTCCTCCCGAATTGGGGCCGTTCATATGGTGCGATTGTATTTTGTTTGCCTTTGGTAACATTGATACCTCATACTAGATTCTGTCATGATCTGTTGTGAGGCAGATGATCCAGTGATTATCATGATCTTTCTACTTACTGGCGGGATACTCCTTGAAGTTACTAGAGTAAACGTCTATACATTTCATAATTTGAAAAGTCAGTGGCCTCAACCTCAGATATTACACCTTTTGGAGAGCTATTAAAGCCAAACATACTTTATATTTCAGTGAAATTGGTATGATCAATTAATGTTTTTTAAAAAAACCTGGAAAGTAACTGGGTTTAATTCTGTAAAAATAAGGCAAACATTTTGGCTGAATAATAGAATGGGAAAGATTTCTGACTGTTTGATTGAAATCTGTACTAGTTTACAAAGGGAAATAATCGAGTACCATTGCTTTGGAACTCCAGGTTTTCAATGTTAAATTGAAGGCTTAATCAGGAGATCTTCAATTACCTGATTTAGGTAAGAGTTATTTGAATACAGGTTGAATCTCTCTAGTCTGGCACCCTCAAGCCTGACCGGTTCTGAATGTGAGAATTTTGTGGAGCACGGGAGGTGTGTAATATCTAGCTGAATTACAAACATGTCCACTGCTTTTACTGTGCTGTTAGAAGACATTTAGGAGTAAATTAGACTTGAATAACAGCATGGAACACTGAGAGCTAGCACTTGTGGCTGTAAACAAACTTTATGGGGCTGTGAGAAACTTGGCTACACTTATGAAAAATGGACATCCAGCTGGACGACGGATGTTTCCAGACAAGAGAGTTCTGGACTAGAGAGGTTCAACTTGTAAAAACTGAAACTAAGTTGGTCAAATTATAGAGAATGAACATATTTTATTTGTTATTTATTTATATATAAAAAACAAAACCACAAGCATGTCAGGACAAAATTAAAAGCTCAATGGCACAAAACAAGATTAAACTCTATCTAGGGACATAAAGGGTAACAATGAAACATTTTACAAATACATTATAAGCAAGATGATGACCAAACATAAGATAGGCCTATTACTTCAGGAAGCAGAAAAGACAAATCAGAAAACAATGGACAAAAGTGTTAAGCTTCCTTTTTTTGTTCCAGTCTTGATCAAAAATGTTAGCAATGATCAGATGATTAACATAATGAACATCAGTGTAAACTGGGTATAGTTTAAAACTAAAATAGAGAAACAATGAGTTGAACCCTCACAGGAAAATAAGACAAAAACACCTGTCACATATGGATAAACACTCTTCTACAACTGAGCATTCTGAATGAGCCCTATTAGTCCTAATCCTCAAAAGAAATCTATACAACACTTTTGAAAAGATGAGCCTGGGAAAAATCATGGACTGGACAGACACTGGATTTATGGTTTATTACAACAGTCTGTGGTCCACTAATCCCCCCCCCCTTTTTTTTTTTCTTATGACTGCAGAGATGTTAACAGGCCATTCTACCTTGAAGGTTCGTTTACAGTATGTGCTGTTTATGTTAAACAGTTCCACCTTGCACTTTGTTATGGTGCTTGGAAGTGTTTTTCTTAGAGCTGAAAAGGAGCGCTGTATGGTTCAAAAGTATATCTCCCTCACCAAGAGAAGTTGGTCAAATAAAGGATATTAACTCACTTTCCTTGTCTCTAACAGACATCTAAAAACGTAGACACATTAGATAGCTTTAAGTCAGCAGGGACTGAGGAAACACATCCTAGAATATTTAAGGAACTGGCTGAAAAGATCTCTGAGCCATCAGCAATTATTACTGAGAACTTGTGGAGATAGGCGACATCAGAGGGGAATTATAAACCAGACATCCCAACTTTGGTACTTGGAAGCTAATGGAACAAATTGTTGTGTGCACTTAAAAGATAAGATTAAAAATAACAGCTAACTGGATTTGTCAGGAGCAAATGTCAAATCAACCTAATATCCTTTGACAGGACAAGTCTTATGGATGGGAGTGTAACCCTTATGGGGCCACAACACTTATAACTAACTATGCCTAATTAGCCTAATTGGAATATTATGATCTTAAAGGTGCAACTCCGAATACCGTATATGATCACCGGTTAAATTGCCTCTACCCAAAGGTGTGGTGCATAAATAAAAACTTAACAATTTAGATAGATTTTATAACAACAAGACTATATTAAAATACCAATCTCAAGTATAACAGATAGGGGGAAGTCCCGTTTAAGATAAACTACTATACTACCAGAGTCTAGTGGTGCGGGGGCGATTGATGTGGCGCTGGCGACCTCGATCCGTTGGTCCTTTCGGGCCTCGGGAGAGGAACAGCCAGGAGTCTCTCGATGGATGACCACGCCGATGCTTGGCGACCTGCTATCCTTTGGCTAGTTTGAAGCTGCAGGAGAGGAACAGCCAAGGAGATCCCTCGGAGGCTGGTCGAGAGCGATAGAGTTCAGTTCACCTTCTGTGAAGCCTCCGTCCATGTCGTCTCTTCCTGCTCTTCGGATGCAGCTGGAACTGGCGATTGATGCTAGACTCTCTATCCTATGCTTAACCTATCCTAAAATAAAACCTTAACTAATCCCAACGCGCCCGACGAACAGTCTCGACGACGGCCGACAAACATACACAACGACGAGGATCTACACTAACTAAAACCTAAACTAAGCTAACCTAATCCTACACCTAAATGAAGGGAGGGTAAACCTTCCGTTTACCTCCACATCAAAAGATTTCTAGACCTCTCTCGTTCCTTTAGCTAAACCTTGGACCAAGACCTTAGACCTCATACACAGTCCTCACCCATGCACTAAGTCTAACCCTAAATCTAGCCCAATGCAACAAACCCAATGGGCGTGGTCTAGACTTCTAACGGTGAGACTCATGCATATTCATGAATATTCTATTTTAAAATGATTGGACAAAATATAATGCTCATTACCATAAATGTAAAAGGATTGGTTCTTTAACAACAACACATGAATATTCATATCAACATTCTATTCTTTTACATATTCATGAGTTTTCAAAACTAAACCGTCAGGTATTGCTATGTGCCAGGTGACTAGACACCAATGGTTTCTTAAGATGATTGACAGTTTAGGTTATAAAGATGATACACATTACAAGACATACCATGATACAGCAATGTATGATAGTCTAAATTGTCATCATTGTATCTAAGTTATACATTCTGCTCATTGTTACAGATGATACATTGATATAAGCATGATGATACATTATATAATCATTCAATCATTGCATAATTTGTAACAGGAGGAAGAAGTAGATTAAATATCTCAACTTTAGTAAGGCTTTTGATGCTCTCTCATATGTCCATCTCATAAGCTAGGGGGAAAATCGCCTAGACAAACTTAAAAAATGGGTGCACAACTTGTTGGAAAATCATACTGAGAGTAATTATCAGTAATTCAGTCACGCTGGAAGAGCATATTGAATGGGGTCCTGTAGGGATCTATCGTAGGTTGGTTCTGTTCAATATCTTTTCAAATGATTTTGATAATGGCATAAAGAGTACCATTTACAAAGTTTATGGATGAAAGCAAGATATGTAGGGTTGCAAGCATTTTGGAGAATAAGATTAGAATTCAAAATTGACAAACTGGAGAAATGGTCTGAAATAAACAGGATGAAATTCAAGGACAAATTTTAAGTATTACATTTGTGAAGGAATAATAGTGCTATGGTAGAGTTTCATACAGTTGGGAGAGAATGCCCCCTTTTGGTGAATGTGGCTTCTCATGGGCAGAGTGGCAAGTCCTAGATGATGGAGATGAGGGAGCTGCCCTTGGCCTCAGAGTGGTGGGGCCTAACAGTTAGAGTCTATGGGACTGTCCTTGGCATGAGGACTACGGAGCTTATCGTTACACTAGTGGGGACCAAGGACTACCCTATTCCTGACCGAGTGCTCTGTGGAACTAGTAATCTTGGCTTCAGGTTTACTGATCTAAATGTAAACACTTGATCTTAAAATTACACTGATCTAATTACACTGAACTTAGTTTAAATTTTTTAAATTGCACTGACCAACTTCACAACTGGTTGAGTTGCCAGTTAAGATTACCTGTCTTTAAAGTAATTTATGTATATTTTTCAAGTGCTTGTTCATGTGCAATCAGGTTGTGTTCACGTGCACAGTAGCCAAAAGATTTTTCCCTAGCAGCTCCCTATAGGATCCATCTGGGTGCCTCCTGGGGTGGTGCCTGCATGGTGTTCCATTTAGTGCCAATCCACTCCCTCCTCAGTTCCTTCTTACTGCTAGTAATGGTAACTGGAATTTTCCCTTGGTCTTGCTTTGTCAAGTTGCTGTAGCAGTACCCAGTATTTCTCTGTGTGTATATAATTCATACTTGGAGTTGCTGTTAGTCTGGCAGTCAGTGTTAAGTTTCAGTTAAGGGGGTTTGCCCCTCCCCCAGCTTTCCTGCCGCTCCCATGGTATGCTGTGGTTGCTGGGTTTGAAGACATGCAAGGACTGTGCAAAGTGCATGCCAAAAAGTGACCCCCACACATCCTGCTTCAGAGCCCTGGGTGAAGGGTCACCAGAAAGACCACTGCAAGGAATTCTGACCAAGGACTTTCTAAAAAAGCATGAACAGCACCTAAAAATCCTCTTAATAAAGGCTGAGCTCCAGCCCCAGTTGGACCCCAGCACTGTAGCACTGCCCTTGAGCACTTCTTTCACAGTGTGTAGCATGCTGATGTTCTTTTCAAGGGATCATGTGCTGAAGAAAGACATCACCAAGGTGTCTGAACTCTTTCCTGGTGCATGCCAGGACCATTCTGCCCCTTGGCACCGGCCGAGGACATCCTCACCCTTACATCCCTGTTCTTGCCACCCAGAAGCTAGACTGCACCAGCACTTCCGCCATCTCCCTGTTGCACTCTGTTGTAAACTGGTGATGATGTTATGCTGTTCCCCCTCACCAAGTTTCGTGAACAGGAGCAAATGGAGAGACTCAAATGTTTCACTTCCAGGGGCATGGCTCCATCTTGGGCCTCATATTCAGAGGCATCAGAGTCAGACTCTTATCACTCTGAGTGCAGCTGGAGCAGTCACTCCTCCTCTCAGAGCAGTAAGAGCTCTGACTAGAACAATGGGTACCGCAATAGCAGAAACCCACCCAGTGGCCCTTTTAGACCCCATGCCTATGGCAGGAGCCAAGGCACTTGGTCAGCATCTGTGGTGTTGGCATCTTTGTCCCATCTGAGGCATCATTATCAACATCTGTGCCCTTGGGACCGACGTCTACACCATTGTTTGTGCTGTTTCTGCATCCACAATCCGCGCCAGAGCTGTCAGCTATCCTGAGGAGCCCAGGGGTTTTTTACTCCCTAATGCTGAAAGTCAATGGTAGCCTTTGGCGCATTCTGGACCAGTCAGAACTCAACAAATTTGTAAAGAAACACTAGTTCTGCATGGTCTGCCTTGCCTCCATCATTCTATATCTGGATCCAACAGACTGTTATGCCACCCTTGACTTAAAGGATGTATACTTTCACATCACGATTTATCAGCCCCACAGGAAATACTTCAGATTTGTGAGTCAATCAAACCCATTATCAGTTTACAATACTTCCATTTGGCCTGCCTACAGCACTTTGGGTATTCACAAAGTGCATGGCAGTT